AAAATAGACAGTATGACTCAAATTGCTAAAGAGAAACACTTTTTTTTTAATTTGAGAAAAGTCAATTAGGTACGCAAATCGTTTACTTCGTTAAAATTAAAATTACTTAATTGACATTATAACTTTTGTCTAATGTTTTTGAGAAAATCAATATTAAAAGTGACTTGCGTCGCGTTGTTGTAGTCTGCCATGTTAAAGTACGCCATAATTCTAGGTTCTTAGACTCTGTTAATGTAAATTCCGCACTTTTGTCCTTAAATTCAATGATTGTATTCAATGAAAATAGGCAAATAGCTGGAAAATGGTAAATTGCTAGCGCTCTTGTTAAAACTGCTAATTTGTGTTAATAAGTATCTCAAATAAGATAATCTTTTCTAATGAGTTTTAAAATCTTGAACCATAAATTCATTGATCCATTTCAATTGTAAATGGGTTCGATTTGTTACTTACTTAAACTGTACTTGTCTCTTTGTAAAAGTTAAGTATACGGTATAACATTTTTACCGGGCTGGTACATTTTTAAAATGATATTTTTCAAAGGGTAACTTTTTTTCTAAATTTCTTTGTCAGTACCGTTGCTGTTTTTTTTGATAAACGAAATTAACATTGAGTAAAGTGCTATAAAGTTCTCTCAGATCTTTTCCTTGCAATATTGATTTAGCCCACTTGTACGATATATTAAAACGAGGTGTTGTTGTTTTTTCAAGAGTTCCAGTAGTCATAAGCAGAACTTTTAAAGTAGGCGATAAAATGGATTTGGTGTGTTCACAATAAATTAAAGCTTCAATAAATGTTTCTGCTTTATATTTAGTTATTAATGTAGTATCCAACGTTTTTATGATAAAAGTGTCGTAAAACAATGCTGACGGTAGAGTTTGGAAGGGAATAGTTTGTCTGTAAGGAGTAAAATAAAGCAATGAGGAATTGGTTTTCATTTCAAAGTATAGAGCCTCAGATGAATACATGAGCAAACAACTCTTTTGTTTTGGTGATTTTAATTTTTTTTAAATAAAGGAACGCACTAATAATTATAATAATTACTTTCATCAAAGGAAATACTGAAATATTGATAAGAAGTGTAAATTCTATATTGAAGAATGTTGACATTAGATCCTTCATAAATAAAATCACTAATTTTAATTTCATTTATATTCAAATTTAGCAAACTAAGAAGCAAATTATTATTCATACTTTCGGTGAACACGTTCAATATTTTTAATTATCTTTCAGGCCAAATAACACGGTTATACAAAAATACGGTATTGGTAAGTTTTTTAAAGGTTTGTCTTGTAAAGTAAAATTATAATATTCTCTTTTATTTGTTTTTTCAAAGTAGATTTAATAAAAAAAACAAATTAATTCTATTGGTTCAACGCCGATGGTTTTATTGATAATATATTTTGTAACAATAGATCAAAAAGCAGCAGAAAACAAGTTAATAAAACTTTGTTAAGGTATTTTTTCGTTTGTAAAATTATTTGTATAATTAGAATCAGTAAGATTAGCAAAGTTGTTCCAAAGGTTCCATAAGAATTGAAATGATATAGGAATATTACTTTTGAATTTATTACAATTTCTATGTTGCATATATTTCCTTCAGAATAAAAAGTGTTGAAATTGAACATTATTTTTAATAAAAAAAAAAAAAGATTGAA